CTGCTGTGCTACACTGTTTTCTTTCTGTGTGCTTTGAAAAACAATAATTTAAAGGAATCACTTTTGACCTGGCTAGAAGTGTTTAAATGTTTCCAGTTAAAAAGGCATTTGAGTGGGAAAGTGAGAGCATGGGATGTAACAAATGTCAGAGGTCCCTGAAAGAATTAAAGCTGTCTAGCTCTGAAAGTATGGGAGTCAAGAGAGATAATCTCCTGGCACAGTGACAACACACCAATGGCCCAAACAACCAAGTGCCGCAATATCCAAAGCTTTCATTTCATGACGCCTTTTCAAAAAGTTGACACAAGCCTATGGAAAAGCCTAAAGAAAACTTATGGGTTATGTGGGTGTTGGAAATTTTGATTTATTTCAGGCAAAGATCACAACAAGCCAACAGCTATGTCATCCTGCAACTTAAAACTGGTTACTCAGGAGGTGTGAGCCTGGTCAGTACCTGGATGGAAGACCTCCTGGGAAAGCTAAGGTTGCTACTGGAATAGGTGTTAGTGAGACCCCACTCCGTGGTCTGTGTGGGTAATAATGTCCTGGCCTAATCCTAATAATCCCCATCTTTGAATTGGCTTCATTACTCTGTTCTCCTCCCTACTGATAGCTGATGCATGGTAAGCATACTGGCGCATACTGACTACTGTCTCATCGTCAGGTGGTGATGGTCGAGGCGCTTTGAGTGGAGTGTCCAGAAAAACGGTATATAAGTGTAAGAAATTATTATTAACTTTCTCCACAGTTAAGGCATCCAGTATGACTTATTAGTCCCAAAAGGACCCTGTGTAAATGTAACTTTGTATAACTTGGAATGTTCTGAAATTGGACATGCGTTTTAAATTTGTCCACAAACTGAAAGAAATCATTCAAGCAAACGGGTACGTTCATGAGCTTAAAGGAATGTCCTGAACTGACAGGCAAGAAGAATTTAGCCAGTTAGTCTTGAACAGAGAGGAGTAGGAAGGAGCCTGATTCAAGTATTTAAAATCCTCAAGACACTGACAGTTACCCCAGTGGACAGCTTCAGAATCCACATTGTAATACAAACCAGAAAACACAAGAGGAAACTAAGGAAAGTGCATTTAAAACTCGGTACAGGAGGCACAAGCTACTCAGCCCTGATTTTGAAACAGATAACCTTGCTTTAAGAAGTGGTTGATTGACATCCTTGGAACAAATGGCTTTTAGCAACCGAATGAGTCATATTGATCAAGTGTGTTCCTTTGTTTGTAACATTTCCTATATTCTTACACAAATTGAGAGGAGTAACCTTTACAAAATTAACATTCCTGCCCAGTTACCACCCAGCAGCACTGCAGTAAAGCAGTGTTGTTTTCTATCTTTTGATAAACGTCTCGCTCTGAATATCCCAAATTACTTTGTAAAGCCCTATGACATGGTCTGTTGTGCATCAAGAAGATAACTGGTTAACTTCTGTCAATTTTGAGGCAATTTTTCAAATATCATTCAGTTGAAGAATTTGTTTCAGCTTCAGAATAGAAAAGTGTGCTCTTCTGACCCTTTATTTCCTGAAAAGCAGAAACCAAACAAGCAAAGAAACTTTCATCCAGTACCTACAGACCTTGTGGTACCAGCAGCAATCTGACTTCCGTGGGGATCACTCTTGTGCAAGATTGCAGAGAGGATAACAAGACACAGACACGCCAGCAAAGTATCATAAACTTCTTAAATAATTTAATTGCAAAAGGGTTTTGTTTTTTTAAAAATATTTCTACAAGAATGCATCGTTTTTTTCTTCTTTTCACCATTAAATACATCTCAATGTTTTCAAAAAGAAAAAAAAGCCTGCAGTTTTTTTTTTATCATACAGGTACAGTACATTTTTTTTCTTTTTTTGTATCCTTTTTAAGTAATTTCAAAAAGTGACTAGAAGACAGGCGTTTCTGAGTGAGTTTGTTAAAATAACTTTTCAAAATGTTAAAGGAGAGCCAGTGAAGAGGAGAGAGGAGAGGAGCTCTGTCCTTGGCAGGAGCAGACAGGAAGAAGAAACTGGGAAGGGAAGGGGGAGAAACGTGGAAGTACAAAATTCTACAGCACTAAGGGACAGAAATTGGCACAGAAGGGTGAGTACAAACTCTGATCCCTTCAGAGAATTGGCTTAGGATCGAGTCCTGTTAATAGCACCTTAGGACATCTCAACCTGCACTCAGGCAGCTGCATATGGGCAGAGTCTCTATAAAGGCAGTTGAAAATCGGTGTGTGTTTATATTTATTTTAAACACAGACGTGCAGAAGGCGCTGCGCAGGTGGAAATGGTTCTGTGTAGCTTGTCATTTGTACATCTGTCACAACAGGACTGAGGCCCAGGTTCAAACAAAATTTCCCATCCACCACCACCTCTACTACCTGCAAATTAACTATAAATTTCACAAACAAGTATTTAACGGCAGCTTTCTGTCTCCAAGTACACTACTGCCTCTACACTAATCTGGACCAATTAGGCCAATTATCCGTCTTAATTAAATGACCCAGTGCTCAGAGAAAATCTCTTCCGGATCCCACTTAGATGCCACTGGGGTCGATGCCAGGGGCCTGCTGGAAATGGACAGCTGCCATCCAGTGATGCCTCTGAAATCTGCCATTGGTTAGCAGGTCGAAACTTTGATTTGAGCCAGGGCCTGAAGCTCACTGCCAGGGCTACATCATCATCACTAATTCGTCCGGTGCTGTGCACTGTCCATACAAGGACAGCCCACCTCAGCACACAGGCCAAGTGAGACACAAAGACATAGACTAAAGCAAGGAAACCAGCAGAAAATCTGCACAATAAGATTGAATTCTGTTCTGTCCAGGGATTCCCAAATTAAAACTTTCTAAACCTAATAATGAATGGCCCCTAGACTGTAATTAAGAAAGAAATGGCATTCTCTCTGCAGGTGTTTCTCCTGTGCACCTCTGCTGTTTCATTATTTGCTATCCCATTATTACTATTTCTACTCTTTCTATTTACAATTATTATTCTGGGTTAAAGAAGCCCTTATCTATCTGATATTTTTTTGAGGTTGGGGGAGTTTTGTCAAAATTATTAAAAAGGGAAAGAGAAAGTAAGAAAATAGAACTTCGCAACTTTCCTTCATGGCTGTGAGTTAAGGTGAGGGCTGGGGTCTAGTAGCATTGCTTAACAGCTGCTAGTGTGCATAATAAAAAAAGTATTATTGACTCCAGAAATTAAAATAAATGCCAGGGCACATTTACTAACTATGTCTTATGGTTAAATCATACAGTCATGGAAGCTAGATGGGACAAAATGGCCTCTACTTTGTCTTCATTCATTGTTTAAGTTCTGCTATTCATAATTTCCCTGAACTTTCTCCACCCTGTAGTTCACAGGGTTACTAGGCTATACAGCCTTATAGTTTTTCTTGGACTCCCATGCTAAAAGTTTGGGGACAGCTTTCATTTTTTAATGTGTCTACTGTGTTGCTAACAAGTGCCCCGATTAGAGTGAGAGACTGGATGCAGTTGGTGATAAGAGGAAAGAGAGATGATCACTGGGAGCTATCTGTCCCTGGCAGTAAACGTATTCATGAGAAACAGCAGATTGTAACTGGCCTTAATCACTCTGACAGGCTCAGGACCAGAGGGCCGTGTCTTCCATTTGTCCAACAAAAGTGTGTAGTTAGACAAATAGATTGGCTTTTAAATACATACACATAGAAGGATAGATCTCAGCCCCGGGTTTCCGTGAGGGCATGCTGCATTTCAGCTCTCTGAAAGAGCTCTGTGGCAAGACTCAGTGGTAGAGGTGCACTGGGGACTCCACTGAAATCTGTGATTTGGGACTGTGATGTAACTGTGCATCTGGACTAAGGTACAGAGCCAGCCAGCTTCAGCTGCACTGTATGGACATGACAAGATTGAAAGGACTTTTACAGTACGGCCGACTCAGACCTCTTCCTTGAAACTCCTTCAGTTCACCCTGACCTGTGCACCTCACAGCCAGCCTCCCACTGCTGGCAGATTGAGATCTGCATATGATTTGTGTGTGATGTAATTTATACATTCACAACATATACATATTTACATAGCAGAGTGCTGAAGTGCAAGAGCTCCGGTGTGTCCTCTATGTTCACACATGGCCCAGTGACCACGAGTCTGAGGTCTGTAGAGCATGGCTGCGGTCCTGCAGTGGGCAGCTCTAAAATGTGAGTTTTCTCAAAAAAATTGGGAGTCTTAATGCATTTAGACAGTATCAGTTTTAGTGTACAATATTGATGAAATCTTGTTCAGAAAAGATTTATAGTATGTATTTTTAAGGTAAATGAGGTCCAATTATTTATACTTAATGAATTTGTGTTATTAAAATGTGATTCAATAGAGTCTATCACATGCTTATAACAATAAGCTATAGAGAAGTCTTTTAACACAGGTATGAATAATGCAGCATGGGCCTCTGCCATCACATCCCATGTCATTTCTAGCTATGAAAAAGCACAGAGGGGGCTTAAGTGTGGTCTGGGGGGCTACAGCCTGTCTCCCTTTCTGAACTGGCACAGGTTTCAGAGACAGATACATGTGAAGAGAGGAGCTGCAAGGCTCTGTTGATATGAACTGTGCAATAATAGATCCACATGAGATTAAAAAACCTTTTTTTGCCAAGGCTCTTTTCTTTAGACCTCAGCGACAATCAACAGAAGATAAATTCATGGAGAATAAAAGAAAATGGTAGCCATAGAGCTAGGCTGGCAATTGGCTGTGCTTGGAGAGATATTGATTGCAGGAGACAACTTCCACCTCCTACAGATCACCGTGTCATTGTCCCATAATATCATAGCTCAGAACAAAACAGGTGTAATGCTCTATACCATGGCCGGGGGCAACCCTGAGGAGATGGGATTGAAGCCCCCCTCCCTAGCCTGCCTTTAGTCCTCTCACTCTAGGACAGGAGTTGTCCCACCCTCTCCCCTCCCAGTCTTCGGGTCTTGCCAGGCTGTTGGAGTACGCACCATGAAGGCACCTCAGAACAACCCTTCTACACATTTTTGTTGCATCATTTTAGTTGGGTTTATGGGGGAGGGGGCAGTTAGGAAATATACAGGCTGTTTAGAACAACAACAAGAGAAAACAAAAACAAATCAGTATTCAACAGTCTCGCACTGAGTCTGTAATGATTATCGCTCCGTGTACGCATCTCGTGCCCACAGCGATTGATTTATTTATTCCACAGTTCAGATGGCCTCTAGTCTGGGGATTGGAAGAAATAAATAGATCCATGAAAAAGAAAATAAAGGAAAACAACGTTCTCTTCAAAGCTGTGTAGAAAAGAAAAGGCAGAAATCCACTTTTGCACTTTTCTTTCTTTTCAGATGATGCATATTTTTTGTTTGGATCCCATAAAAAATACATAACAGTTTTCCATAGCCTAAAACTGTTCCTTATATTGATATATTGCACGCCTGCTTTTCCTCTGTGTTGCACGAGAGACAGCTGTCTGTGAAATCCCGCTCTCTCAGATACGCGCGCAGATCCTAGGCCATGTCCTGTCTTGACCAGACCTGCCACCTAGCAACAGTTTCAGAGGCCCAGACAGTCCTGCTGATGTCCTTCAGCCACGAGAAGATGGCAGCCTCTGAACATACAATATGAAGAGAAAATCGTCTGAGAAAAATAGAACCAGAGTTGAGACGTGGCAAAGGAGCTTTTGGTCCTTTCCAAATTTGCCTGTCCTCTTTTTCCTTGTTTTTCAAAAATAACGTTCTCGTCTGGACAACTGAAAAATCCAAGCCTTTGCTGTTTGTCCCAATGTCCGGTGAGGAAGTCGGTCTTTAGGGATCAACGGGATTAACATCGCCATCTCTGCACGGGCGGTCGCCAACCACTCTGCACGGAGCCCTCCCTCCTCTTTCTGTAAATTAACCATCTTCAATATGAAGATGGGGAAAGATCACGCAAAAAAAACCCATCAAAGGACAGGAGATCAACATTTTCTAGCCTCTTCCTGGCTTGTAGTTGTTTTTTTCCTTTCCCTTGATTAGCTCCAGTTCATTTCAGACTCCTTCTGAAGTTCAGCTGGTCTCCCTGTCCGTATTCAATCCATCCCCGTGGTCCGTGCTTTTGCTGTGCTGGACAGAGGCGGGTGCTCAGGAGAGGAAGCCCCAGCTTGTTAATTCAGTTCATAAAAATGTGCAAAGTCCCAGTCTGCCGCCACACAAACACACGCACGCATGCATGCAAAACACACGTGGGCAAACGCGCTTTTATCAGAAAAAGAAAAAAACCTTAAAAAAGTAATAGTAATAATCATATTAATAAAGTGGAAACACAGTAATAACATGGAAAGGGGAGGGTGTCTGAGGCACTGCAAGCCAGTTTCTGATTGGCAGAGAATGTCAGGCAGCTGGGGTTTGATTGGCTCTGTCTGGCACAGTCCCTCCTTCTCAGACCTGGACAGGCAGCGTTTGGTTCATCTGTAGACGCATATCCTGAATGCTCCCCAAAATCTTCTTCTGGTGTCCTGCTAGCGTCACCCCTATCCGTAGCAGGTCCCTGCAGACATAGGAAAGAAGAAGAAGGAGGTCAAATACATGGAAGGCCAGCTAGCTGTCTGGGCTAAGACATTTTGGAGTAGATGCACATCACTCTTCAGCAGCTAGGGCTGACAGACACACATAATGTCTATACACAGTACTGGGGAGTAACAAGTTCATATTAAAGTGCGATTATAATCTCAATTAATCATTGTGATTAGCGACATAAAATAGCTACAATATTCTTTGAGCAAACTGTAAATATAATGGATTTTAATGTAATCTTACCAAGCATTTCTAATAATGGTTATTAAAAAAACATGTAAGAAACACACAATTGGAATGACATGCTATGCTACCCAGGTAGACAGCGACAGTTTAGAGACCATACAGGAGGCTCATCAGACAAGAGGCCTATTTTCTGCATCCATCTGCATTCATATGATGGCAGGTCTCACTGGGACTAGCAGATGCCAGTTATTACAAAAAATGGCTGACAGCAGACAGAGTCCCTGGTGCTGTGCAGAGATCACTTCCACCCCTTCTGTGACTGGAGGACAGGCTATTGACATGGGATGTGTACACACACAGTCTTTAAAGCATACAGTTTATAGCTCTCCTCTGTTCCCAGGGAAAGGTCAAGTGCACAAACTGCTCTGTTCCTACTTATTGTTACAGCAAAAGATGAAACAACTTTTCCAAATGCCACAGACTTGCTTGGATGAAAGTGCCAGAGATGTACAGACAAGTGTGGAGAGGAGAAATCACCAGCGATTAACCCCTAGTCTTCAATTACCAGGTGTAAATCTAGGCTGGTGCCATGGTTCAACCACTGAACACCAGGAAGCAAACGGCAACTGTTCAGACTGTAACGTGATTATTCCCCAAGCCAGTGTGCCAGCAATCAGTGCCTCATTTCCCCATGTTCCTCCCTCATCAGAGCCACTCTGCACAAATTAATTGTATTTTTTCCCTATCACTGAGCTCACGATAATGGTGGCAATGGAGGATAAAATGAGAATAAATGAAAACCATTAAGTGAATTACTGTGCATTAAGAACAAAAAAAAATCACTGTTTTGTGCAACTGCCAAGGAGCCAAACTGAAATAGATTACCCCTTCCCTGCCCCCTGCCTCCAAAAACCTCCAATCCCCAGCCTCCCTCCCCCTTCCCTGGCTAGCCTGGTCAATTTCATTCTCATTATTATCCTTATTAATTTATTTTATCATAATTGCACAATTCATCTTCTCAGGTATTGTTTCCTGTTATAAACATAGGGGAAGTGTATACAGGAAGGCTGGCTTCCTCTGGCTGTTCTAATTTGTGAAGACTCACTGAACCATGAGTCCATTAACAATCTGTTGGCCTCTGATCCCTGGTATTAGGGTTAACCCAACACACCCGGCTTGCCCATGCAGCCTTCCACAGACACTCCCTGCCTCCTTCTCCCTCTCCTTATCTGCGTTCCACTACCTCTCTCTGCCTCTTATTCTCTTTCTCAGCTCGTTTTCATTGTCTCGCCTTCATTTTGCTGCTACATCTCTTTCCTTATTCCCCCTTATCTCTCTCCCTGCACCTCTTCTCACCTCTTTCCCACCTCTCTCCATCCCCATGTCCCATACCCTTTATCTCTCCCTCTCCTTTCTCTCCATCTTCCCCTCTACCTCTCCCTGTCTCTCTATTTTTTTCTTAATTTTCTCTCCCTCTCTTCTTCTTCCCCTCCTCCTTCTCTCACTCACTCTGCAGTCATCTGTGCAACCAGGTCAAAGGAAGAGAAGCCTGCGTTGACGAAGTTATCTCTGTAGCGGTTCATCTTGATGGCATCCAGCCAGTCCCCCACAGTGGTGAAAGTGGTGTAGTCAGGGACGCAGCGGTCCAGGAGGGGCTGGGATGCCCTGCAGGACAGAGAGAGAGACACCTGCATCAGTCTGCGCCTCACCTCCCCTGACACACTCACCCTCCCGCCCTGCAGGGGTCCCCACACTGCCCAGCCAGCAGCACATCCCTGATCCCTCCTAGGCTACTGTCACCCAAACAACACCACACCTACTCACTGCAGGAACATGCAGAGTGAATAGACAAAGAGGGGGACATGGCCTGGCAACCCCTGCCTCCCCAAACCTAATTGGTATGTATCTGTGTACTTGGTACCAAACAGAGATCTCTGGGATCCCTTTCTGCTAGCTCCCTTTTCTATACAATGCCACATGTGTTTCCATTATTTTAATTTTCTGATAAACCATGGTAATTTATCCTGTATTTTCACAGCCAAATATAAAATGTCATTAAAATGATCATCTTAAAAAAAATGTGCAAAGCTGTGACATAAATTCAGCAGAGTAAATTATGGAAAGAAGAACAGAAATGCAATGCAAAGGTACTAAGTTTGATGCTTCTGATCATCTACATCAGTCCCTGCATACTACACCAGGCTTAACCGTCACTGTCAAAGGATGTGCTTGACATTGCTCCTCACAGACTCCAAGTCTTGGGTTCTTCTTTGATTTGCAACCAATTAAGCAACAGCAGAGAAACATGAAGCCATTCTGCAGTCAATATGGTGTGTGAAAGAGACAGTTTCAAAACTACACAGAAGAGCAGCCCTCTTTGGAGTCACAAAGCACAAAGTGTGCTAAACGACATGGCATGAAAGACATGGAAACAGTGAGAGGGAAGGAAAGAGAAAGGGCACTACTGTCTACTGCTCTTGGGAGACATATCATCTTTTGATGGCTTTAAATTAATTAACAATTTAAAAAAAGAGAAGCTAATAATGCTGTATAGAGGCTCTATTGAGGAGCAGGGTGCAGACAGCTGGGAGGGCAGCAATGTTAATAAGCTTGTGCTGGGACTGAGGAGAGTTGCCTCTCTCCACTCCTTAATGGCCCTTTGTTGCAGTTTAATTTAAAGGAGTCAATTACTTTGCCAGTGACCGTTGTTGTGCCAACAGGCTCCCCAGACCCAACATCCGGAGTTGCCCCCCACCCTTTGACTTCAGTGGGAAAGGTCAGAAATATTATCATTTTCTGTCACTCATCAGCTGACTCTGAAGAGGTGAAAGGGTGCATAGACCAGTTCCAGGTGCCAACAAAGACATCCTCAGATGCTCTGCATCACGCATACATGCACACACACGCCAGGACTCCTGACCACAAATGCTCAGGATCTCTCTTACACGTATTGTCAGATGCATGCAGGGAGCCAGCCTTGGTTTGTTTGCGTTAGAGGTGGACAGACAGATGGGCAGTCTTTGCCACTGTATTCACACTCATGTTTCAGTTACAGTGCCTCTCTCATCATAAGGAGTCATTTAGCAAGATACTGAGGCAAGACTGTCATTGGGAACATTTTGAATATCAGTGCTCTTATTCGCCAGTGTTCCTGTCAGTCTTCAATTTCTCCTGACAATCCACTGCTCTCTCTAGTCCTGCAATACGTGCAGGGGTCCACCAGCACTCTGCTCTCATTAAGGCCCTGAGGGGACCGCCTCTCCACTGGTCTGTTTAAAATCTCATTAGTAAACTAATTAAAACCATTCCCTTTACTAGCCCCTTAATCTCTCTAATTACTCCCATTCAATCTTTCCAACAATCACTTTAGCAGCAGCTCTGCCTGCCCTCTGTGTCCTCACCCTATCCCTTATCTTTTAATCTCTCCATTCTGTCACTCTAACTCCCTTTCTCTCTGTATTTCTCTCTTTATCCTCTCTTTCCCACTATGCTCTATGCTGGTATTCCCCCTGCTCTGTCTCTTTACCCTCTCTCTGACTTGTCTGTCTCTTCCAGCAAGCACACCAACACCCACACACCATCTCCGTCTCTCAGTCTGTGGGCTGCTTACCCTGAGTGCGTGCTAGACACAACTTTCAGGCTGGCAGCGTTGCGGATGAGTTTGTCGAGTGTATTGACAATCTGGGCAAACTTGGGCCGCAGGTTGCGTTCCTTCACCCAACAGTCCAACATCAGTTGGTGCAGAGCAGTGGGGCAGTCCATGGGCGGAGGGAGTCTGTAATCCTGTTCCACTGCATTGATCACCTGCACAGAGACAAAATGTTTTATTGTTTATGATTTTGATTCATCCTGTTCTGTGAGCCTTAATTCTTCATTTATTTCTGCCAATGATACCTATTGCATAATTTCTGTAGTAGCTCTTAATTGCTTGTCATACTAGCAAGTGTGTGTTTCTTGTTAATTGTCATGTGTTACTGTAAGTGTTTAGAATGAGAGAAAAATACAATGAGAGAAACACAAACAGCAAGTGCAATTGAGAAAGAGTAACATGAGTTCTCACGCTCCACACTCACATCCTGGTTGCTCATGTCCCAGTATGGCCGCTCTCCGTATGACATCACCTCCCACATCACAATCCCATAGCTCCACACATCACTGGCAGAAGTGAACTTCCTGTATGCAATGGCCTCTGGAGCTGTCCAGCGGATAGGGATCTTTCCTCCCTGTGGAGAGACACAAGGACAAACTATCAGGTACACATACTCTATCGGACATACTGCTGGGCACAGACACCACTCTTCTGTTCACTACACTACAACTATTCATTAGTGATTCTATATCACTAGTACGTTAGGATATGCTGTCAGGCATATAGACTGACAGTCATATGGACATCGGATCAAGGACAGTTACACAGCACATACAGTAGACACATAAATGTTATGCCATACACTATAAAACAATAACAGAGCCACTTGTAGTAAGACAGTAATATACAAAGACTTACCAGTGAACTGGTATAGGTGGGGTCTGTGGGATCATCCTCCAGGAAGCGGGACAGCCCAAAGTCTGACACTTTGCAGACCAGGTTGCTGTTGACCAGGATGTTGCGGGCAGCGAGGTCACGATGAACATAGTTCATGTCTGAGAGGTACTTCATCCCCGCTGCAATTCCTCGGAGCATCCCAACCAGCTGGATCACTGTGAACTGACCATCATTGAGCTGTAGCATTGAGAAAGGGAGAAAGACAGAGCAGGTCAGTACTAAGGAAACAATGTGGGAGAGCAGAGGTTTTCCTGGGCCTGAGACATACATTTGGTGAGCCCCACATGATAACTACTTTTTATAGCAATTCTGCCCTTTTGTTGCATAATCTTACGCATCCTTGGCAAGATCCTCTTGTTCAACTTGTTATGCCAACGAAGTATTTGAACTTGGAATCAAAGGAAAAAAAGAAGGAAGGAGAGAGCGAGGCCGAAGTTGTACTTCTCCCTCTCTTTGGCTTTCTCCAGCTCTCCTGCTCCGTCTCAGCACAGCAGTAGCGCAAAGGGAACAGGGCTGCAGCTGCACTTTGAAATGTATGAGGCATCTTTGCCGAACTGCCAAGGAGTGGGGGAGGGGTAAGGGGGGCGAGGGGTTGCTGAGCATGAGGGAAGCAAGTGGAAACGTGGAGAGGGGTGAGGGAGAGAGATCTGTCTGATCTTTATCTTTCCCGTCATCAAAGCAGCAGCATTCTCCATTACAAGCAGATTACAGACTGCAGCGCCGGGCCGAATTAGGGTTAATGAAGATCATTATGGTGTTTTTCAGATTTCAACAGCACTGTCAAAACTCAAGGGGTAGTGTAGTGATGCTGCTGCAAACGGAGAGCGGGCTAGAACTGCAGCTGCGGTGGTCAGTTCGTTACACCATCTCATAACATGCTTTTTCCCCGGGGCAGTGGAACATCACCAGGATCATACTCCATTCATGTCAAATATCAAATCCCAGACACCACGCATCTGCCTTAAGGACACCTGGTTAGTTTGGTTCTTTGGAGCTTGGTACTGGTAACCACTTTGGTTTGGGTGTCCCTTCTTTACCAAAGAAAATTGAGTCCTTAATCTCTTGAATCTCTTAAAGTTTTCACTGCCATGGATGTTGCTGTGGCATGAAGTTTCACTTTGCATTGATTGGGCTAGAAAAATGTTAAGCTCTCATGGGCTTGGTACAGGTTCTGCCTAAGTCTCCTTCTGCAACTCTCAGACTGTGCTTTCTCCTTGAGCAGAATGTTATAAGTTTCTCATGGATTACAATTGTGTCTTGCTGTGAATTACAGATCTGCAATGAATGTTAAGCTTTTATGTTTGACAAACTCTCCTTTGATGATCAAGGATGTCTCAGGCATCAGGAAGTCTTGAGCACCAATTAATATGTATTGGATGACTGTCTATAATCTTTTGGATTGGATTGACTCCCTGCTCATGTTTTGGCATTTATCTTTGTTCTCAAGTGACTCCCATCTGTCCCCTGCCAGTGTTTAACTAGGAAAAAATAAATAGCATTACATTTCTTTTTTCCTTAAATGAGGTTGTATCTTATTGTTTGCAATGGAATCAGATTAGAAGGACCACTATGCAATATTTTTTTCATTTGGTAACATTTGGAGCTTATTTTTCCTTCAAAGAAGTGCACTGAACTTTGCACAGCTGCCATGCTTTAAGAAAATCATCACAGGAACAGCAAGACCTGCCTTCTACTTCCTTTATTTTAGACAACCATAGGATTAACAACAAAATAAGGACATAGTAATACAGAAGGGTATTAAGAAAAGAAGGCATCTTTTTGTAATGGTAGGTGTCTGTCAAGCCCATCATCCTTGTTTTTCAAAATGGAATTTACCGATTGTTTGAAGTAATAGATGGATTTGCACTGTTTGACTACAAGTAATCAAGTATGCAAGATGTGTCGAGTGGCCCCATCTCATTTATAACCTTTCTTATATTCTTACATTCTACATCTTCTGACGAATGAAAGGCAAGGTTCATAAAGATTAATTTTGCATGCTATTGCTTTTTTCCTTCCTCATTCTCACTCCCCCTTGTCCCTGTCTCGCCCTGTCCCTTTCTCCCTCTGTGTCTCTAGGTGTTTAATATTCCTTCACTGTAGTGATTCATTGCTGGCTGCGTTCTGTCCAAATGTCAGCAAAAAGGGGGGCCACCGAGGGGTGTCGGTACATTATTTGTCACAGAATCTACAGCAATGAGGTTAAGACCTTTCTTTATGAAAAAGAAAGGAAGCCAAAAAGATTATAACAGACAGATTAGGTGTGTTATGATAGGGAGCTGCCAGTGTTGCAATGCATGTCTGGACTGAGCCCAGGATCTGCAACAGAATTAAGGTTTACCCCAGTATTTTTGTGACTTTCGTGTATGTTTCTTTTGCTTTGTCTTTAAATTTTCAGCAATTTATCTCATTCACTTAATTTTTAATGGGGAATGCCATTGTAAACCTTTATAATGTAAGAGGCAATTCTGTTTTTTGTCATAAGGCTGGTTCTGAATATGAATAAGCTAGACTGACTGTCACACTTAAATTGAGCAAATGGTTTAATTAAATCTTTCTGAGCTTATTTCAGTACTTAAAAGCATTGGGCAAAGAGGTATTTGCTCTGTGTGCAGAGCTGCCAGAGTCTGCATGACAGTGTAAAGTTGTACTGCTCTCTTACCCTCAGGAAGGAGTCCAGTGCTCCATTCTCCATGAACTCTGTGACGATCATAACTGGTCGGCTCTTAGTTACTACACCCTCCAAGCGGATAATGTTGGGGTGGTCAAACTGGCCCATGATGCTTGCTTCACTCAGGAAATCCCGCCTCTGCCTTTCTGTGTACCCCGCCTTCAAAGTCTTGATGGCCACGATGATCTCCCGCCTGCCAGGCAGTTTTAGGCGCCCACGACACACCTCCCCAAACTCGCCTGAGAGAAAAAAAAGGTAGGGGGTGAAGGAGAGGGAAAGAGGGAGAGGGACAGTTAATGGTGAGAACTGAGGATCCAGGAGAGAAGGCAATGCAGGGAAGAAGTCAACTGAGGTAGAGGGAATGAGGGAGGGAGAGAGGGCTAATGCTTGGAGAGAACGGAGGGTGGGAGAGGGGAAAGAGAGAACGATGGAGGAAGAGTAGAGGGTTTGCGTCGTGGGCCTGATAAAGAGGGGAGGACAGTGGGGGATTTGTCAGTAGAGGTGAGGTTGGGAAGCAATGGGACCTAACAAATGTAATAAATTTTCTTTAAAAAATTTAAATCGACTGCCTCTGCTATACCTGCCCCGATGACCTCCTCAATCTTCACACAGGAGATGTCAATTTCTTTGGCAAATTCACGGACAGCCTCATTGGGGTCCTCATAGGTGAAAGGGTCAATATAGACCTTCATCCCTGGGGTGACTGTGGAGTACAGTCAGAAATTAGAGAAAGTAAGGCGCAATCAGATAACACTTCCTCAAACAGGATCGTGGCACAGCAGCTCTGTAAGTGATTAGTTGATAATATGTTTATATAAATGTTCTGTCCTAAAAGAGATTCAGAATAAGCAGAGATCTCAGTCGAGTTCATACACTTGAACTGAAAATACTTTTTTTCCTTAAAAATCAAGGGTGATCCACATAATTACATACCAGAGAAAACAATTGCACAAGCATCCAAAAACATTATGTTGAATACACGTGTGAAGAAAATATTTTTCTATTGAATTCTGAAGGTCTTTTTTGAATCTGTGCAACTATGGGCTGTATTCATCCCCCTATGCTGAGATTACTGCACCATTGGAAAAAAAGAAACTGCCAGTGCCACACTATGGAATAGCAGCTGCCTACGGAGACTCCTACACCAGCTTTCTGAAAGAGGTTGTGACATTTAACAACTTCTGCTGTTTGCAGAATTTAATTGTGATGGTCTAAAGGATGTGGTCCCTCTCTCTGTCTTGCAGCCTAGGACATAGTACTCACTGTACTGCTGCAGCTTCTCTGTGTATTCTGATTCTGATCCATTCCGCTGTTTCCTGTGAATTAAACACAAGGCAGTGTCACCCCTCATGGACACAGCTGACAATTTCATCTAACGTGGATTGGGGAAAAAAAGTTTATTCTAATTTTGTTTTATTTTATTTTACAGCACCACCTCAAACTAGCAACTCCGGAACTTGTGTTGTGAAGATTAATTGCACCCTAGCAATTTTGTATTGGTATGGGAGGTGGCGTCACTATTGCATAGCCAGATAACTTGGCACGAATCACTGCTTAGAACTCAGGGTGCTATTAGCACTGATTTATACATCCCCAAAAATAATTACAACAGTAATCAAGCATTGATTATAGTCCCCAGACACATAAGCAGAAACAAACAAAAGATAACTGAAAAGGAAACAATAAAAAGCTTTTGATGCTCCGCAACCCTTTGTGTTTCTTTTAATTAAAGCTTTCAAAACACAAGCTCTGACCTTACTGACCTGGCAGCTTTTTGAATTACTTTAGTAGCTTTGTTTAAACATTTTGCTAGAAATAAGTGTAAGTGTTAAGACAGTGCAGAAAACTGCTCGGTTGTGAATGTTGTCTTCTTCACATTCAATCCTTTCCTTTCATGTAACATTTTTTAGCGTCAGTTTCAGTCCATTATTGTGGGAGAATGGGGGGGAGGACTTCAAAATTAGATGTTAATTTGTTTCTTTGTTGCCTAACCAGTAACCAGGGCAATGATACCCTCTGGTGATTTACATCTCATTTCCAATTCGAATGAGGGATGCAGAGATCTGTTGCAGAGACCCTGCGTGAGACACTCAAGATAAGGGGACACTGCACAGCAATGAACAGTGCCATAAAAGGGGAGGAAAATAATTTTCAATATTCTGTCACGCAGGAAAAGGAAAGTAGATTTCACTTCAATGTGGCACACACTGGGACACCAGGACAATGTAATTTTCAAAGCCTGAGTACTCACAAACTACCTATCTACAGGTGGACCACAATTAACCAAGGTACCCAATGAATTACTTGGACAATTAGCAGACACATGTGTACAAGCCCTGTGATTCGCAATCATTACCATGGGAAGAGTGTTGCAATGGGACAAAGGGACAAGCTCAGCTCACCTTTCCAATTAACAAACAATATCTGCTATGATGGGAGTACCGGGTCTCCTGTACACCAGCCCCTCCCTTCAACATCACATATCAGGCTAACAGTCTTTGCAAAGCAAGATATCTAACAGGATGGAGAATGAAAGCAGAAAAATTTGCAAACATTGTATTTTAGTGTTCTTATTTGGCCTAAACATCATTTAGGCCAAATCATTTTAAGCTATGTTGAAGCATGAAGCAAGGACAGAAAAGCAACCTTAAAATCCATTTTTTTTCTGCACAGAGGATTATTAATCTGAAGATCAGTCTAACCTGGGATCTAATAGAAGTGTGCACAGAAGAGTTGTGAAAAGGAAAACTGGCATTTTGTGTTCGAGATGGCATTGGTGGATAAGGGTACTTGAGTAAGTGTCAAAGTGTATCAGGATATCTGCAGGATAGTGTATCAGTATAACAGAGTATTGGGTTGTTAGTGTATCAGAGTCTTTTGGTATCACATTGTCAATGAAATACTGTGTCAGTGTGTCAGTTACTGATGGGGTAAAGGGAAAGACTCACCTCAGGCAGACTATAGCAATGACCACTACAGCGATGATGAAGACGAGGCCGGCTGTGGCTGAGCCCACAATCAAAGGCAGCTGCTCCTGCAGGGACTTCTCAGGGTCGTCTGTTGTGGGGCGG